AATTTTGAAGTTACCAAGGTTTGATGATGAAATATGAGATAAATATGGTAGGTAACTAGATATAGTCTAAACACCAAATCCAGATATAATACAATATGTGGTAAGAATGTAACATACTCTAGTAGGTTTAGGTCGTAAATAAAATTGTTTAAGTCTGTTTCTTAAGATAGATATGTAACCATATAAGACAAATACTTGATAAATATCTAAATAAAGATACGAGACAAGACCTCACCTTAACACCGAAAAAAAAAATAAAATAAAATAAAATTATTCTTATTATAAATTAAATTAAATAATAATTTTAAATATATATATAAAAGGACAAAACTATACAGTACACCCTGCATTTTGTGCACCTTCCTATAAAATTTCTATAAAACCGCTAATTTCTTGAAATTTTGACTAGGTAACACCTATTGTGTAACATAAGCAAAAATGTTCCTCTCGAAATTTTACCTTACCCTAACTCTAAACCTAACTCTAATTTTAACCTTAATCTAACCTAATATCTATTGCCGGCTCAATTTTGCTATAGGGTGCACAAAGTGCATAGTGCGCTGTTTAACTTTTTTCTATATAAAATAATTAATCTATTAAAATAAATAAATAAACTATATAGTTTACTTTTGGCTAATTAAATTTATATTATTAATTAATTAAAATACAAATTATATAAAGTACATATTAATATTTTATTTGTTATTTTAATTTGTTAATTAAATAGTATTTAATTAATTAATCAAATAGTATATATTCATTGAATATAATTTTATAGTCGAATATTCATTTGGTGAAACTATTATCTGTTTGAATATTCTAATATTCAATGAATATTCGAATATACTGTTCATCGAGTTAGACCTCTAACTGTAGGTTTAAATAAAATACTATAAGTTCGTTTAATCCACATCATTATATCAAGATCACGGAATATTTCCTGATCTGTAAGGTAGGCATACCTATTTCCGGGGATCGTCCTATTTCCGTGGATTCTACATTCACCTATTTATTGTCTGACAAATTAGGTTAATCTGTAAGTAAAATAAAGTTTAAATAGGTTACACTGCTTACGTATATATATAAATATATTCTAAAAGCGTTTTTTGATTTTTTTTTTAATGTGAAAATTTTTTTCTCTTACTATTTGTGCCAAGATAATTATTTTTATAACGACGAGAACCAATTTATTACGCATTAATTCTTTCAATTTAAAAAAAAAAAAAAAAAAATACGAAACGTTTTTGAATGTAATAAGTAACCCACCAGTCCCCAGTCCGTAGAACACATGTTTACCGCATGTTTAACGCATTTTTTTCGCACGTTTTTTTGGTTGGGGCGCTTGTTATTAAATAACCATTTTTTTATTTCATTATGGTCAGTTGAGTAAAGCTTAAATAAAATAAGCAAAGGTCCCACAACCAATTTCACGGTTCTGTCCCCAACGCATCATGAATTTAAACTCTAAAAAAAAAAAAAAAAAAAATATCTTGTTTTTGCAACACGAATCTTATTTTTCTTGTACTTGCACGATAGTATATGGAATGGACCGAGTATTATCTTCAAAAAAGGATACAGCTTCGCGTCAAGCATCTATTCAAGAAGCTTTGAATTTTCTTCAAGTGCAAAAGACTAGTTCAAGTTCACCTTTAAGTGTACGCAAAGTTGCTTTTAATTATGGTATCGCTGAACAAACCTTGCGTGATGCTATAGCTAGAGGTGGTGTACCAAAACGTCCAGGTCCCCCTACAATACTTACGGCTGAAGAAGAAAATGAGTTAGTTGGGTATTGTCTGAATATGCAACAAATTGGATTTGGACTTACTAAAGAGGCAGTGAATACAATGGTTGTACAGATTCTCAAAGAAAAAAATAAAA